ATCGACTTTTTTTCGACAGATTGTTCTTTTTTTCGGATATTCTCCGTCCGTTTCAACTACACCTATGTCATTTTTTCCCCAGCTATTCCTCAGCAACGTAGGAGGCCAAACACATACGTAGTCTGTGTTGACTGTAGTTGGCCGGGTGTCACTGTACTGCTAGCTTCGTCCAGTCCACTCCACTGGTCTTTAGTGCGGCACTGCCTTTGCATGTGAGTGGATCGTCTGTTGCCCCACCACGCCTGCGTGCTGTGCTCCGTCTGCATACAATCCCCAATAGATATCTGCATGAGAAAAAACTCTACCGATTGATGAGAATGGGGAGACGGGTTTCAGGGTGCACGTGTGCGTGCGTGCGTGCATGTATGTGTGTGCGTGCATGTATGTGTGTGGGTGCGTGCGTGGTTCTAACCTTTCCATTGCCTGTGACAGGTGGAAAATATTCCCGAGTCGCAGCTGGAGTTCAAGCAGAGTTCGGAACCAGGGGGCGCCCCCAAACGGGAACTCCTCATCGGAAAATACTTCACGATCATGCTCAGGGGATTCATCCACACATCAGGTAAGCAGTGGCAGCCATTACTCAGTGTAGCAGCAGTAGGATGGTTTAGCTGTGCTTAGGATATACTAAAGTATCAGAGTTTAGATATGTGTTTGGGAAAAACTAACAACGGCGACCGCCAATTTCCGTAATCTGCCAAATCTTAGAAACATCCGTTTGGAAAATGGCAGAGGACGTAGGGGAAATCATTGCTTTGTATGAAATTCTTGGAATAGTAATAACATCCTGAAGATCAGTGATCAGTGATCAGTGATCAAGAAAGGTGATAGAACATCATTATTCTGCCTTTCTAGTTGTGTATGCTGTTCGTATACGCGCAATCCACAGTCGCAGCACGTCGTTGATAATGTGGCAGGAAATTGAAACGTGTCTCGCTATTCGGTCGCCGCTAACGCGTTGTCATGACGACCGTGTTTGTTGTTGCTTGGCAGCCCTGTCTCTGTCGGACCGGTACGATCACAGCGTCTGGGTGTACAGCTCCTACACCAACGTCATCGTCAACATCAGCGCCAACGCCGCCGTCCAGGTAACGCATCCCGCTGCGTCTGCTTCACGTGCGAAGCTGCGGAAATAATCGCAGATCGGTTTCAGTTATGGACGAATAGTGCTCAGTGGATGGCTTTGCCGTTGATTGGTGTTCCTGTGACTGACAATGTGCCAGCAGTGATGCATTGTTGGTGTTGCGTAACTGATGTTGCATCACGGATGTTGCATTGCTGATGTTGCATAGCTCATGTTGCGTTGCTGATGTTATGTAACTAATGTTGCATTGCGGATGTTGCATTGCTGATGTTATGTAACTAATGTTGCATCGCGGATGTTGCATTGCTGCCCATGCTGTGTTGCATAGCTCATGTTGCGGCATTGGCAGGAGACCGGTTTCGCGGCGGACAAGGGAGGGCGCCAACAGACGGCGAGAGCAGTTTTGGGCAGCAGCGCCACACACATGAGCGGAATTGGCCCGTGCTGGCCCGGCGGTTACACCGTGACAACAAGCTCTACCTAGTTTGGCTGGCGTCACAGCAAGATCCTGAGGACCAAGCATCCGTCGATGGTGAAGCTGGCGTGGGGCAGCAACAGAAAGGTGAGTGACGCGTGGTCTGTGTGTGTGTTCTTCACAGTGGCGACCTCACCCATTCTACACGTCCGTTTGTGTTTCTTACAGCTCTCTCTTTCACTCTCTTCTCTCCTCTCCCTCTCCTCTCATGCTCTTTTTTTCTGCCACCTCCGCCTCTGTCTCTCTTCTCGCGCTCATTTCTCTCTCTCGCTCTTTCTCTCTCTTCTCCGTCGTCTCACACTCTCACTCACTAGCTCACTCAGATCATTCTCTCGCTCTCGTCGTCTAGATATCTCGCGGCTCTCCTATCTATCTCACCGGGGGTCTGTCTCTTCTCCTCGCTGTTCCTCCCTCTTCTCGCTCTCTCTCTTACGTCTCTGCTCTCGTCTCTCTCTCTGCTCTCTCTCTCTCTGCCTCTCTCATCCATCTCTCTCTCTCTCTTTCTCTCTCTCTCTCCCTCTTCTCTCTTCATCTCTCTCATCATCTCATCTCTCGGTTCTTCTCTCTCTCTCTCTTCTCTCCTCTTCATCTCTCTCTCTCTCCCCCTCTCTCTCGTGCGCGTCTTTTTCTCTCTCTTCCCGCGCGCTCGCTCGCGGCGCGCGCCGCGGCTTTGCTCTCCCTCTTCTTCTGTCTCTCTCAGACCTCCCCCACACACACGGCCACAGCACACACACACTCTCGCCTTTGTCATTAAATCTTTCTCTATCTTTACCTCCCGACATTTAATTAAGTCACTGGAAGTGGCTAAGTCAAACAGTGTAATAACTCAAGCTGCTTCATAGCTATGCGACGGAATTGCACACAGTAGGTTGGCGGTTGCACTTCAGGTGTTCGAGCGCTGGCGTTGCATGCAGCTGGGCGGGAGAGGCCAGCCAGTGATGCCTCTACGCTAAGCTGCCCTCGTGGTGCATTGCTTCGACGCTAGCCTGCCGGGCTGTGTCACAGCACCCCTCCTGCGTGGCAACGAGAGGGCGCCGCCGTCTGCATGGTCGGCGATCGAAGGAGAGCCACCTGGTGTACATTGTCACGATGCACCGCTGTGCTCCGGGGAGCTCATGTCAACTGTCTGGAGGCGAGCCGTCCGAGGTGAGATGCTTCGCGCGTTACGCTAGTCTCCTGACCTTTTGACCGCCTGGCCTTCTCTAAACCGGTTAATTCTGTGTAGCGTTGTTCATCGGTATCTGTAGATCTGTGCGTGCATTGACGTCGATGTAAGAAAGTAGGTCTATGCGTAATTTTAAAAGATCGAGATCAAGATAAAGGATCAATCAAAGGGACATAGGAGCAATGTAACGTGTACAGCGTAAGCAAACGTAATAGCATTGGCTTGCCTACTGACTGGCAAATTTCAGTCATGTTTTCCTTTTTTAATGTGATAATGCAATATAGTATTGCTATAAATGCGTACGCTTCTAAATGCCTATGAATTTTTCAGTTGATCTATCGTGTAAGCTGTACCATGGCATATTATACATGTACTCCTCTCATGCATCTCTTCATCTCACATCTGCAGATCGCTCTCCCTCATCTCCTCTCTCCCTCTCGTCCTCTCATCTCTCTCTCCTATCTCTGATCTCTCATCTCCTCTCTCACCTCGCTCGCATCGCTCTGCTCTCCTCTGCCGCTGCTCACCTCTCGCCTCTCGCCTCTCCCTCTGCCCTCCTCGCCTCTCACCTCTCCGCTCTCCCTCTCCCATTCGCTCTCCCCTCTCCTCTCCGGCGTCTCGCTCTGCCCTCTTCCCTCTCCAACGGTCTCTCCTCTCGCCTCTCCCTGCTCCCTCTCCCTCTCACTCTCCCTCTCCCCCTCTCCCTCTCCCTCTCCCTCTCCCTCTCCCTCTCCGGCTCTCCCTCTCCTACTCCGCTCTCGCCCTCTCCCTCTCCCTCTCCCTTCTCCCGTCCTCCCTGCTCCCTCCCCTCTCCCTCTCCCTCGTCCCCTCTCCGCTCTCCCTCTCGCCTCTCTCTCCCCTCTCCTCTGCCTCTCCCTCCCCTCTCTCTCTCCTCTCCCTCTTCCTCTCCCTCTCCCTCTCCTCTCCTCTTCCCTTCTCCCTCCTCGCTCTCCATGCTCGCCTCTCGCTCTCCCTCTCCCTCTCCCTCTCCCTCTTCCCTCCCCTCCCCCTCTCCTCTGCCACTCTGCCCTGCTCTTTCATCTCAGTCTCTCTGCTCTCTCTCCTGCTCTCATCCTCCCCGTGCATGTTAACAAGGCCTTGTTCACGAATGTTAATTTTTGTCGTTTTTTCGCGCGCGACGTTAGGACGGCGAGTGCGAGTGGCTGCGAAGCACGAACGTGACGAACGTGAGGCTGGCGTGCGTCGCGGCCGCTTTGGAACGTGGCGACGCGCGACGCCGCACGCTTGCTCGGCTGTCGAGTGTCGTCCTGGCACTAACGAAACAGTTGCGCGGCGTTGCAGCTCGCTGCGCAAGCAGAGTGGCGCGTGGTGCGATGTCGATCCCGCACCTGCTTCCGCGTTCCCACACCTAGCCTGGCGTCGTTTTACGGCTTGTAACTGTAAGGTATGTACGTTTTAACGCTGCTAGGGGCAGGTAACCTGGCATCATTGGGTTTGGTAACTGTACAGGTATGTATACCCTATGGCTGCTTAGCGAGGTGGCGCCACGAACGACTGGCCGCTTGGTCCTTTTCCACAGCCACGCTGGCGCGTACGGCTTTGGAAACTGTAGGTATGTACGTTTACGACTGCTAAGGCAGGTACCGGCACGATACCTGTTTCTCGTTTCAGAAAACAACACACAGTTACGTCTGGCGTCGTAAACGGGTTCGGTAACTGTGGTATGTACGTTTTTTTCACGATAACTAGGTGGTGCCTAGCATTGTTTGTATTTGGAAAGCTGTAGCATGTACCATTTATAACGCCTAGCTAGGCAGGTACTGTAATCATTTGCGGTTCGGATACTGTAGGTAATGTGAGTAAAGCCTATGCTGCTAAGCTTAGGTAC